AGTATATGGTACACATCCAAGTTACCCGTTTGGACAATACCGTCGGAAAATAAATTGAAAGGATAAGTCCCGTCATTGCATTCGCATGTTCTTGCATTTAACTGCAATAGTGGGGTCACTTACTAAGTATTTCTTTAAACACTCAAGTCATGTGCTACCTCTATTTCAGGCTAAGGCAAGGCATTCATGTACAGCTGACGACGACATCGCAACTCGAGACCATGACACATGCATAGGGTAGTCGCATTTATTTTTTTAATCTAAGCTTTTATTTATTTTATTTAGTCTTTTGTTGTGTCATTTTAAAGGTGTTTTCAAAACACGTAAGTCCATGGCTGTGTTTTAAGCTAAAGGTTATGTTTTATGAAAGTTTAAATGAAGTATTTTCGCATTCATGTTTATGACATGTATATAGTAGCGACCTTAAATTAAGTAGAAAATTTTGGGTCGTTACAGAGGAGATGTGATCATCACACAGATAGCTTTAGAGCACAACATTGCTAATCCATTTACAATGCCCCTCACAGCTAAAGTGTTTGAAGGGCACTTAGTGAGTCTAGGACTACGAGTTATGTAATCTAGGACAAGTGGGAGAAGAGGCATGGGTATTTGATGCCTTAGTTTATTGTATTTATGACTTTCTCTACTCAACATTATAAAGCCCCACTAGAGTTTTAATCAAGTGAGAATTTGTTGGGTTTTATGTCCTAAAACTCATAGTTTGTAAACAAAAACATCTTCTATTTGCAATAAAGTTATTATTGATGTTTATTCAGTAAAGATGGTTATTGAATAAAGTGAATTTTACCATCATTAATCTAATTCCAATAAACTAAGAAAACTCTAGCTATAGTATGATTACTTGAACTATATGTAGAGACATAAAAGTGGATCAAGTTGAAGTATATAGTCAAAATGATGTATAGTACATAGATAAGGCTAAGTACCTTATCTTGGGAACATTATTAATGCGGCTCACTTTTATATATGATATAAACATGTGGAGACATGTGAGGGGGCATCCTATGCAATACTGGACTAGACCATAAAGAAAGTCACTCTCATTTTATAATGTCATTTACTGTTGAGACTAATTTTTTCATTTGATGACCTAAATAACTCAACCTTAATCCTGAGCTAACTAAGAACTTCTGTTTATTCGAAATTATCCTTAGATTTGCATGGGTGAGAGTGACCCGAGTTCACCCACTCAATAAGCCTCCCATTTTAGGGGTAAGACTGGGTGAATAGCTGGGATATAGGGTGCAAGATGGAATTCACTCCTATCTGCTTTTAGGGATAGTAGAGAGGTTATTTCCTTAAGTACTGACTCTAGGTCTTGAACAAGGGGCTCTACCCTCTCATTGGCCTGAGAGGAATTCGGTTTAGTGGTTGAACCACAAATCAATTATTCATTAGAGGATCAGTGGGACTTAAGGAACAAGAAGTAACTTTAGGGGTAAAATGGTAAATTGATCCAGCTCTAGTTACGAACAATCTGTGAAGGATCAACTTACTAATCATGGTTGTATCAAATGGAGAAAAATATATCTGTAATGAGGGAAGTGCAACTACTAGGCTATAGTCGAGTGTCCTGGTAGTTAATAAATGTTGGTTAACAAGGTTAATGAGTTTAGCCGGTTAGTCTTGGATTGTTAGAGCCCATGATCTGTAAGTCCATTAAATCCCCCAGCTTGCTCATCTCGGACTAAACCTTAGAATAGTGTAACGAGTGAGTTTGAAGTGTTCGAATTCAAATTAGGGAATATGCGCTAAATATATACGATATATTTAATCAAATTTTGTTTTAATTTACGAATTAACCAAAAAGAGAAAATTTGAGATATTTAAATAAGATTTAAATATTGTAATTATGAATAGTAATTCATAATCAATATGTGCCGGAATTGATTGGGATTGACATTTGATTTAATGTTAAATATTTATTAAATTGTTTAATTAATCGTTTAATATTATTTTAATTTGAAACTAATTGTTGAATTAAAATCAAGAAAGTTAAAATGTTGAATTCACTTAAAATCCATGTTTGAGGTAGTGGAATATTGAGTGTCAATATATGGTTTAACCAAACTTGCATGTTTGCCACATAATCCCACAAATTTGAGTGGAATTTTGAGTGTCAAAATTTGTTAATCTCAAATTTGCACGAGCATGCAAATATGACACTATAGATGGAGTAATCAAGGTACATAGAAATCTTCTTGGAAAAACTTTGAGAAAATCTTTCAAAACCTCTCTCTTCACATATACTAAATTTCTTCCAAGTTTAGTCGGATTCCACAATCCTGTTCTAAGGCCGGAGAATAGTAGGGAAGACACTAGTGGTGGTTCCAAACCGGTTCATGAGGAAAACGGAATTAAAACAAGAAAGGAATTTGAACTAAAAAAGATTAGTACTCACATTCCTTGAGTTTTAATGCTTTTGAACATTCTAGCTAATTTACTAAAATCAATATACTTAGAGTGCCTAAGATCCAAATTGCTTCAGGATGTGTGTGTGATATTAACACCTACACCTTTTGTCTTTTCAAAACACATATCACCTTTCTCCATTGACCAACGAGTGAAATGATATTGTCTTTTGATGTATTTTGTCTTTAAATGATAGATCAGGTTTTCAACTAACTATATGACACTTATCTTGTCTCAATCATAACTTGGTTGATTGGGCGCCACTAATGTGTTGCCACGTTGTCTGTCTTCATAGTATGATTGTGACTTTCTATCCCATTTAAACTAGTCATCGTCCTCAATGACTTTCTCAGTGGGCACAGTCGCATCGTGTTTTCTAACATTCTCTCCCACTTAATCTCAACATCGTCAAGATGGCGATCCAAACATTTGTAGTACCCCAAAGAAAACCTAAAGAAAGTTTTTAAGGGCACATAAGGAAGATTAAAAGTTCCAAAGAAAACCTAACCTCATAAAACATTATAAAGATTCCAAGAATGTATTTTTAATGGCAATACAAGGTTTGGTAAGAATTTAGGGCCATTGGAAAAGAATGGAAAGAAAAAAAAAAGCCAAAAAAAGGGTCAACTTAAAAAAATTTATGGATTTTTAGTTTCTTACGGGGACAAAATTTCTAGGTACTTTAAGAATGGATAAAATGGCCAAAAAGATAAAAGGATTTTTTTTTTTTTTTAATATTTTAGGAAAAAATAATAAAGTATTTAAAATTATAATATTATGCTTTAAGCTTAAAATAAAACTCCTTAATTGGACTTGAATTTTTTTCTATTCTCATAATCCTCCCCTTCGGAGTCTAGAATCCTTGTTGACACTCATTCCTCTCTCCTATCGATATGGGATCTTATAATCCACCTCTTGATGTGTGGCTTTGATACCATTTGTAACAGCCTAATCCCACCGCTAGGAGATATTTTTCTCTTTGGGTTTTTCCTTTTGGGTTTCCCCTCAAGGTTTTCAAAACGCGTCTATTAGGGAGAGATTTTCACACCCTTATAACGAATGTTTCTGATATGAACCAAGAGACATAAATCATACAATATGCTTCAATGAAGATGTGAAGAAAATATTGTTGAAATTATCAAAAGATATTTCAATTCATGCCACGTTGAAGAAGAATGAAGTTTCATGTTTTGAATTTTAGGTGGATTACAATTTAGAGTAATTTAGAGTTATTGTATTTCATTAATGTATTTTAAGACTTTTAATTTACTTTAGGTTACAATTACATAATGGTTAATTAAGGTCATTAAGTATGAATGTTACAACTCTTGGAATGTCTTCAGTAGTTTCATTTTGAGGCTATATAAAGCCATGTATTTGTATTTGTAAGTAGACTTGAAAAATATATAGTAAAAGAAGCATTTGTGCTTTCTTTAGCCAATGACTAAGTTTATTTGCAATTCTATGTAGTCTAGGTTGCATGTAGAATCATTCAAGCTCGACATGATCAATATTGTTTGTGGAGTGATTCGAATCTCAAAATCTCAAACAAGTGTTTGAGATATTTGATCAACAAGAATCATTCAAGCTAGACATGATCGATCTTGCTTGTGGAGTGATTCGAATCTCAAACAATGTTCTTGCCTTGAGATATTCGATTAATAAGGTAATTCGAATCTTACTCCCCTTGTAGTGGTTTCTTATCTTATCAGTTTCGCTCCCCAATCCAACCAATGTGGGATCTCACAATCACCCATCATGTTAGCAATACCTCAATAGTACCAAACAAGTCTACTCACGACACAAAACTTGTAGAGTCATAGACTACTCACGACAAAAAGAAACTCATTCACTAATAATCTCAAGAAATCGTTTTGGAAATGGAAGATCATACAAAACTATAACCAAAGAGCATACTAAGAATTCACAAGAGATAAAGACAACCTACAACAACCTCGAACTTTTTGTGGGAAACTCTTTATTACAATCAGTCGAGAACAGATTACAATGGTGTGAAAAATCTCTATTTAAAATCAAATAAATTATAAGAATATGGAAAGAGCAATAAATGAGAAATTCTCTATGAATAAATTACAAGGATATGAAAAGAGTAATAAATGGATATGGTAAGAATGCAAGTATCTATATATTTGCTTATAATAAAATATCAAATATGATATATATGGTAAGCTATAATTGAGTACTAAATATCCTTAACATTGTCGAACACAACTTTTTGTGGGAAACACTCACACTCTTTATTACGATCAATTGAGAAGAGATTACAAAACTCTACGTAGAATACCTACTCCATTTTGTTTTACTTGAAACTTTTTCAAATTTTTTGGAAGGAAAACCTTGGCCGTGGAAGGGTATTTATTCCTAAAATACATAGATAATAGACTCATACCATTAAGGGTTTGACAGGATGATATTTTAACACGGTTTCAGATATTTCAAATTGATATCCATCTAAATTGGAGAACATAGATTTTGAACATTAATCAAATGATTATTAGGTGATATATAAATTTTGATTTTGAATCCAACTATAATTTGATTATTAGAGAGGCAAGCATAAAGCTTCATTGGACAAATTTCAAATACATAAACGAATAATATACATATATTTGGTAATTCCTTTGCTCAAATCCATGATATCAATACATTGTCTTGAAAGGCTTATAAACCTTAAGATCAAGCATGACACCAATAACAGAGCCCACAACAGCAGCAAAGGAGATCAAAAGGCAGCCCATGCTCATGGTTTGAACACAAACCCACTTGAGACTCCATTTAGGAATCTTCTTCTGAACAATATACATTTGGACCGGAAAATACACGGTCAATGGCCAGAATTGGAGAGCCCCAATGATCCCAACCACGTCGTTGAAGAAGGGGAGCAACATAGCGACGACGGTGGTGAAGCAGACGAAAAGAGATCGCCAAACGAGTCGAAAGAGGTTGACATTGTAGGAGCGGGAGGAAGAGATGGAGAGCTTGTGGTGTTTGGTGATGAAAGGTGAGTCGGGCCATGCTTGGGCGGCTTTCTTCTCGACAAAAGCAAAGACGGGCTGAGAGAAGACTTGGTATGCGCCAACGAGGTGGACGACGATGGCGACGTTGGCGACGTCAAGGAGCCAGAATGGGTTGTAGAAGCCAAAGCCAGTCAAGAGGTTGCCTGGGGCGTCGTTGCCAAAGGCTGCGTAGCCCATGCACCCGCATAGCATGTAGAATATTGTGGTCAATGCAATGCTGAATCCTGTCGCTTTCTTCATTGTCTTTGCTTCCGACGGTGGGCATCTGATTGTGTCCTGTTTAACCACATTGTGGTCAGCTATTTAATTGTAATTTAATCCTTATATTCTTCCACAATATTTACTTTTATTTCTATTGTTTATTTTACTTTTAAATTTTTACTTTTTACGCCACTTTTCCCACGTGTCCGATCAATTATTTTTTTAATCTTTTTTATTTTTCGAATTTGGTTTGTTATAATTTAAAATATATGTTGTTAATTATAAGAATATTAAAAAAAAAATAAAAAAAATAATAATAAAAGCCTCATGAATTTAATTTACCTGAATTTCAATAAGGATAATTGAAAAAGAATAGGCAAAAGCGATGTCGCCAAGTGCTTGGAAAGTTCTCCATATCTTTTGGCTTTCATTTATTGGTCCCACACTTATTCCACTCACCGTCCCTTTAAAACTCCCCGTTTCTACACACAAAAGGACAACAAAAATATTAAAATAAAAAAAAAGTAATTATTTCAAAAGTTATTCCAAACATGTCTGTCCACGCCTTTAGATTAAAAAATAAAATCTTTTTTTTTTTTTTTTTAATAAACACATGTTATCTTAAATCTACTTTAGTCGAATCAGATAATTTTATTCTCATATTGGCCTTTTGTATACAAACTTAGCTCTTTTTTTTTTTTTTTTTTTTGAGAAATAAATGAAATAGTATCTATAAAAAAAGTTGAAACCTGCAACTTTGGCTATTCCAAGGCCAAGGCCAATGGTGGAATAGGTAAAAGACATGACAGCAGCCACCGTGGAGAGCCACCAAATCTGATCAAAATCAGGAATTTGAGACAAAATTATTTCCATTACTCCAAAAGACACCATGAAGGGATTGCTCGACATATGACATGGATTCTTCCCTCCACTACTATGAAAGCAATTTGACCGTTTAACCGCCCTGCCAACACACAAATTATCAAAACCCTAATTATAACGTATACGTTCGGTTCGAGTCTCCAAGTCTCCAACTTACATCATGCTGATCGACGACGCAATCGTATATCCAATTGATATTCCGATTAGGTTCACGTACTGAAGTACTCCACATGCTGTTGTTTGACCTCTACCTTTATAGATACAAACGGAGAAAAGATATCTCAATATAATTAACTGCTGGATAATATTTATTTATTTCTGTTTATTTGCCTACCGAGAAGGGAGCGAACTGCATGCATGTAAGTGTAGTTTCTCTTTCCATTCACTGGGTCACTGGAGCGATAGCAATCGGCGAGCAAACAGGAGGTGTAATAGCCGATGAAGGCGAATAGCAACATCACAGAGGGACCGGCGATCCATCCTAGTTGAGCGATTGCCCATGCTAACGATAACACACCTGAACCGATGACTGCTGTGATTATGTGAGCACTTGCTGTCCAAAACGTACCTAAACATAATGAAAATAACGAGTTAAGAGTTGGAATGTAAAATTTGTAGCTGTGGTTTGATGAATGGAAGAATAATATTATCATGTACCGGTTCGTTTGGGGCGGCCATCGTCGTCAAAGCTAGGCGCGTCGTTGATGGGAAGCACGGCCATGGGCGAGGAGTTGAGTAGAATGGAGGGAGGGAATAGTGTTTGGAGATGGAGAGGGGAAAGGGAGGAAGGCGATGGAGGGGAAGGGAGTGGAGGCAGCTGTTTTATAAAGTTTCAAAAAGGAAATATTAATAAAAAGAAAAAAGAAAAGGGTAATAATGAATAGAAAAAATACATGTTTTTAGAAGGACCCAGTTTTGGGGGTTTTCAATACTTCAATTATTATCCTCAAAATTTGCAACTCTAAAAGTCAACCTTTCTCTCTCTAGAAAGGTTGTTGGGTTGGAAAATTATGTTTCATGGTTATCAACAAATACAAATATATATATATATATATATATATACATACACTAAGTTTTTGAGATCCTACATCGGTTGGAAGAGAAATGAAACATTTTTTTTATAAGGGTGTGGAAACCTCTTCTTAATAGAGGCGTTTTAAAACTGTGAGGTTGATGGGGATACGCAACGAGCTAACGCGGGCAATATCTGCTAGCGATGAGTTTGGACTATTACAACAACAATATATAACAAACCAAAGTGGGCAATATCTATGAAACCTCTCCCGAGTAGATGCGTTTTAAAACCACGAGACTGGCGGCTATACATAACGGGTCAAAGCGGATAATATCTGTTAGCGGTGAGTTTGGGCTTTTACAACAGCCATAGGTAACGGTCAAATAGAATAATATTTGCTAATAATTAAATTATGTTAATAGAAAGTCGAAAGTTAAAATATTCGTTTTAAAAAGTTTTAAATGCTATATCTTAAATGCTAAAAATGTGTAAAATAATTTATAGATATACATTGGTTAACATGGTTGGTGTGATTTTTGAAGCAAGTATTTAATTTTCTTAAATTTTTTGAAATGAGTCGGACTTATTTAGATGATCGTTACTAAAAGCATATAATTATCAATTACAAACTCATATAAATAATCGAAAGTTTATTAAGGGTCTCTTTAAAAATACTGAAAATAATATAATGAGTAAATTTTTTTAAAATAGTTTCATTATACATTAGGAGCAAGACCACAAACATTTGAAATGAAGGTAATAATAATAATAATAATAATAAAAACTAAGGGAAAAGGAAAAGAAAAAAACAGAGGAAAAAATGGGATATATAAAATGGATTAAACTTCATTAGATGATGATGTGATGATATTATGTGATGATATTATATGATGATATGATAATGTTATGTAATGACGTGATGACGTTAGATGATAATGTGATGATGTAATATGATGACTTGATAACGTTAGATAATGATGTGATGATGTTATGATGTATATGATGTCGACAAGATGATGATGATGCATAATAATACGATGATGCGAGACGTATGATGATGAATTGACTTCATATGACGATGTTCAATATTAAGATGTTGTGCATGTATTAAATGTCACGATACATTTGACGACAAGTTTTTAAAGACACAACCCTAGTTAAATGAATGATGATGAATGTATGAAAGCCAATGCGTGCATGTTACTTAGAGTAATGCGTGAACGGTGTATAGGGTTGTGTCTTAAAGATGTTTTAAAGATGAAAACTATAGGGACCTTATGCATTTTGTGTGTTCATATATATAAGGATACTTCCCCATTTATGATGGTGAGTGCGGACGCGAACAGTATGATGATGAGGGTGTTCATGGAGAGCATGACATTATGGGGTTCCGCTAACCTCCGGACGTCACTATAGATTAGCTTGACCATAGAGGTTCCAGGGGGTGTACGAGCCCCCTAGAGATTCACACTCGCACGTGTGAGTCGTGTGCAGAGAAGTACTACACTTCCAATTTGTCATAGACTAGAGGCCACCCCTATGATGTTTTTTAAATGATAGGTCCCTAGATCATGAGTTGCATGTGGTTGCATTTCTTGACCCCAATAGTAGGGTCACTTACTGAGTATTTCTTAAAATACTCAAACCATGTTCTACTTCTTTTCCGCTAAAGGCAATGCGTTCTTGTACGGTTGACGATGGTATCGCAACTTGAGACTATGACACATGCATAGAGTAGTAGCATTTATTTTCTTAGACTTATTTCCACATTAAAGATGAACAAGAGACGTTAGTAAGACTCTGAATATGTAGAAATTTTGGTTCGTTACACAAAACATCTAACATATTCTTTATGGAACAATCATCAACTCATCTCGGTGCGATCCTTATATGCCTTTGTCTTTATGAGAAAGAGAAAAGTTTTTAAGAATGTTTTGAATTAAAATATTTAGTACGTAGCATCCTCTTGAGTGTTAGATATGCATATACAATCAAAAATCAAAAAACGTGCAATGTGCATCTATGAGACTAAAACTTGTTTTGTCAAAAATATTTGTGACCAATTAACCTATTAATTAACTATATCAATTTTCTAAGAGTACTAGTCTTGATGGGTTTTACTCTAAACGGATGGAATTGGCATCTAGTCCGATGTAGATGCGTTATTGCTACAAAAACAAGAATTATAAATTTTCATAAGATACCATAATTGATTTTCAATTGCACAAAAAAGGTAGCAAAAAAAGAAATCCCCATAAAATCCTAAAGCAACACCTCAAAATAACGAAAATATTCTAATAACTCATGGAGATCAAACGTGCTAGGTTGGACGGGAAGAAGGTTCTGAAGACGAGAGTGAAGGTTGGTATATTCATGGTGTCAAAATTCTTTGTGGTATCGAAGACTAGAGATTCGAAAGGAATGGAGTGCTTTTTCCTCATTACTACTCGGAATCCTATTTCACTCACATGACCGATAGCATCAGCGTCTCACATGGCCGAATGCTTTAAATTTTAGTGTTTCACTAGTTTATTAGAAATGTAGTGGAAGCTCAAAGATCGGTAGACTGTAGGGTTGATCCAATTGTCGCTATCCATAGATGTACTGGGAGCTCATGGATCATTGGCTCTAGAGTTAATTTAGTTGACCTTGTTAAAAAACATAGTGGAAACTCAAAGATCAGTAGGCTCTATGGTTGATCTAATTGACGCTGTCTAAAAATGTAATGGAAGCTCATGGATTGGTAGACTCTATGGTTAATCCGGTTGACACTGTCCCAAAACATAGTGAAAGTTCAAGGATCAGTAGGCTTCAGTGTCGACCTAGTTGATGTTATCCAAAAATGTAGTGGAAGTTTAAGGATTAGTAGGCTCCAGGATTGATCTAGTTGACACACTTTAGAAACGCAACATTCCACATTGTCAAAGAGAAGACAATATCAGATCTATGGAAGACGTTATGGAATATGTACGAAATACTATTGGACAAGATAGTTAGAGAAATGAACTCGAAGGATAATTGAATATTTCACATGTGCTTCACAAGTGTCAAATTGAGCATGACAGTAGTGAGTTAGAATCCGAACAAATTTGGGGTTGAAGCCAAAGTCCTTAAGTTGGAAGGAGTTTACCCATGAATGAAGCAATAATTATTAAGTGGTTTAAGAGGAGTGAGCACGATAGATATAAGTAAAATCCATAAAAGTTCTATAAGAAGTGAGCACATGTTTATTCCTTGAGTCATCGCTTTATGCCTAAGATGGGTAATTTAACAAGAAATGTCAATACCAATATTGCTCAAGAAAGAGAACTAGGTTGAATGTAGAAGACATTGAAGAATGAAGTTACAACAAGACCAATAGAAACGTTAGTGCAACGATTGCCACATGAAAGTGGCCAAGTAAAGGTAGGCCCTTGGTTGGATAGCTCACAACTATTGGACAAGTTTATCATGCTTATATTCTGAGTGTCAGCGATACAGAGAAGATCCATCAATGCGATAGCCCATTAATAACGCACTAACTTTTGTATTCATTTTGATGTACAATTATTTCTTGCGAGTCAAATAACAACCCTTTTGACATTTATGCGGCTGTACCCCTAGAAAATTCATTGAGAATGATAACTAATTTAAGCGGGATAAAATGTCAATACCATACTATGAATATAGTAGGTTGTGATTCCTACATGCAGACAGACAAGGCAGCAACACAGAAGTGACGTCCAATCGACAAAGTGAGGACTAAGACAAGACAATTGTCATACAGTTTGCGAAGAGCCTAGTCTACCATTTAAAGACAAAACACATCCAATGACGATATCATTTCACTTGCAGGTTAGAAAAAGAATGTGATATGTGTTTTGAGAAGATAGAGGGTGCACCCATTAGACATATTGATAAAATGTTTTAATGTTGAGAAACTGAGGTTGTTCAAAGCCTTAGTTGGTATTTGTTGCTTCTACGGTAGTTGCGATGTAGTAAATATATCGATGATTGACAAGAATTCTTTCCGAATAAATTTTTAGATTGATTGAATCGTATGGTTAAGAAGGTTGAGAAATCTTATGGGTTCTTCTATTTAGTTTCTAAAATGAAATTTCATCTATTTCTTTTTTTTATTTTCTAAATGGATTATCTTTATCACTAGCTGTCATGAAGTTTTCATCCTAATATCTCTATGTATATTTTTCGGTTCGTATTCTTTATTTTGTTCTTCATGTTCTTTATCCAAATTAAATATTTGAGTTGTGTGATCCTAACAAGTATATAGTAATGTATTAGACCCTAACCGAAACATAGATCAATTAGTAAAGATATATAGTTAGTCTCTATAACGTGGCATAAATTCGACACGGATCCTTAAATAGTTTTAATGTATTTAGATCCCATTTATTTCCCATGTATCCATTTATTTCCTATGTATCGACATAAGATGGAATCAAATGAAAAGTAACTAGAATAAAATCAATCCAATCCAAAATGAAATGGAATCGGAAAAATATTGATATGGTTTACTTCCAAGCTGAATCTGAAAAATATTACCAAAATGCCCTTTTTATTTTTTCTAACAAGGATAAAATAAGATGCAAATTTATAAATTTTTGGTCAAAAAGAGGGGGAAAAATTAGTCAGATTCATACCTTAGAAGAAATTGGTAGAAAAAACCCAAAGAAAAGTGAAAAAAATATGGTAAATTTTTTTTATGAATTATTAGACATTTTTATTTTATTTTTCTATCGCTGCTATTTTAGTCGTCTCTAGCTACAACTCTAACTCTCTCTTGCTCGGACTCGGACTCGAA